TATCATCATTATTATCATTATTATTTTCCCTTCCTTTTCTGTGCTATTAAGCTGTCTTTATCTCAACCCACAAATTTTACTTCCCCGCCATGATTCTCTCCCCCATCCCACTGGGAGTGGGGAGTGAGCGAACGGCTGTGTGGTGTATGTGCCTGCCGGGTTAAACCACAACAGAGCGGATGGAGCAGAGACTTCCCATGGCATGGTGCTGCTTGTAGCTTGCTTGGCATGCTCGCGGTGCACACCAAACGTGGGTTTCGGGAGCGCTGGGTCTCAGGTCCCTTCCACAGGGAGCGGGGCTGATGCTCCCAACGCACCGCCATGCAGAGCGGGCGTCTGCGGGTCCCTCTGGGTGCTTGGCTGAGCTTCCGCTTTGCCCGGGTCTGTCGGCACTCCCCTCACGCCTCGTCCCCTAATAGAGGTGGCAAAGGTCGCCGGCTCATTAACTGCTAATCACTTTGGGCAGCGAGAGACTGTCCGCAGGAAACGCATCCTGCCACTTTCTGTCAAGTGACCAGGTTATCTGGGAACTGGGAGCTTCCCGGGCCGCTGTGCTCTCAGCAGTACGGATGGGTGCAGGGGCTCAAGGGTGCCGGAGTAACCTTGTCTCTGCACAGCGCTTGCCAAAAGCAGGATTGCAGCTTTGAGCAGAGATGCCTTTCATTAATGGAGTTGGCAGCCGCAGTCATTAATCATCCTTGTAAACACTTAATGACACAGTATGGGAAAGAAGAAAAAGTTAAACATCGGAAATGTAAAATGCTACCTAGGGCTTTTGTTTCTGACAGTATTCTATATTTACATTCTCTGCTGGGAGAAGCCCAGAATTTCCACGGTAGAGAAAAACAGTAGTAATTGCTTCGTGTGCTTAGGCTTTTCTTGAGGGGCAAGGCAGAAATGCCCCGTTTTCCAATGTGATATCTAGCACCAACTTTTTACAAATTTCAGGCTTAGGTATTGCTTGGTAGTATGCAAATAAGTGCAGTTACAAAACTCTGTATTTGAACATTATTTAACATAGGAGGAAAATCTTTGACGATGCTGCGTTGGGGACCTTGAGGTGCGTGCTCACTGACATCTCTGATGTGGTCTTGCATTTTTGCTTCGCTTGCATGACAGTGACGTTCTCTTCTGCTTGACATCGAGTTATTTCCCATCTTTTCTCTAAAGCGCAGAGATCTTGAAGGTTTAGAGAATTG